GAGGTCGGTCACGTGAAGGCTACTGCAGAGCTCGTGGGCGGTCTTGGTGAGCGTGGCGCCCAGCCGATTGAGATCGTGGCCGAGGTCGTTGGCCCAGGACGTGGCCGCCGATGGTAGCTGGATCGTCACGGACATGGGGCTCGGCTCGGTCCAAACGGAAAATGACGTCTGCTCTTGCGGTAACCAGAAGGACGAATGTCGGTAGCATACGTGCATTCTCTCTCGGTGAATGGTGCTCCTTCGCCAACATTCGAGATCGACGTGCATCGTTTTTGATCGGGATCGCAACGGCGTGATTACCTAACCTTCAGAACCCGCCATTTTCGTAGAGAAAACACGCATCAATTGGAAGATACTACGCGATGGCTTTCTCAAGGGTATTGTGTGCCGGGCTACCGGTAACTCGTGCCCCGTATTCAGTCTCGGTTTCGATCGTAGGCGACAAGGGGTAGGGTTGTCCCGCCATGATTTATCTTGTAAAACAATTCCACGCCGGTGTAAATACAGACACGGATCCATTAGGGAACGAACCTCTTAGACATGGTAGAGCTGGATGATTTCGCGCACGTCGGCGCGGCACACGGGGCATTGCCGGCTTGTCTCGCGAATATGGTCGGCGCACTTCATGCAAATCGCGGCGTGGCCGCACGGCACACACACTGCGTTTTGCGGCCCGTCAAAGCACACGACGCACTCGCTCGGGACGCGCTCCTCGGGCAAGGACGCGCTGTGCGTCAGCATCGGGGGTGCCGAGGGCGCCGGGTCATTCAACGCCGGTGCCGACGCCAGCGTCAAGTGTGGCGGCGCCATGTCCGGTACAGTTACCGGAGTGTCGTCGTCGCCAAGTGACTTGGCCACCGGCATGGCCAGGATCGACGGCGACGCAGCAGCAGCTGGGGGCGCCGTCGGGGCTGCGGCCGGCACGACAAATGGGGCCGCGGTCGGCACAGCAGCCATTGCGTACGTGTGCCCCAGGGGCGGGGACGCTAGCATCGGGTCGACCAGCATCAACGTCTATCGGAATCATCCAGCGTTAGGAATGGGCTCGAGACGACGAGCGTCGTACCGCGCCTGTCGACATGAAGGCCGCCCACGCATCAAACGACGGCTGGTCGAGGGCGGCGAACTCAAAGGTTTGGGCGGCACCGAGGAAGCCCGCGCTCTTACGCCGTGCGCCCTGGAACGTAAACGCATACGGCTTGTCGTTGAAGACCTTCTCCTTGGTGTTGAGCGCCACGAGTCCCGCGACTTGAAACATAATCGTGGAGCTAGAAACCTATGGATGAGACAATAGACAATATTGGACACAATGTACCTTGGGAGCGGCGAGCGCTGGCCATTCTCAATGTCGAAAAGTGCCATCTCAAGGTACTGGTGCGACCCGACGCGCAGCACGAGTGCGTACCGGCGCGTCCATGACTGCAGCGAGCGCATGCCGACGATCGAGGACGCGAGGTTGTCGACGCTCTCGTACACCCAGCCCTGGAACACCAAGGCGCGCTGCTCGAGGAGCTGGATGCACTGGGCAGACGCTGCGACAAAGTCCTTGTTTTCAATGTTCTTGCGCGCGACGTCCATGGGCGAGAGGCCGCGCTGGTTTTGGAGGTACGGCGAGACGCCAGGAAGACTCAGGAGGTACTGCAAGACCTTCGTAGAGCCTTGGAGGCAGGCGTAGTGCAGTGCCACGTTGCCTTTGTCGTCCTTGGCGTCAATGAACGCGCCGTGCGTCAGCAGCATCTGGGCGCACTGCACGTGGTCTTTGGCGCAGGCCATCATCAGCGGCGTGCGGCCATTCGCACCGTGGTACTCGAGCATGCGCGCCTTGGCGTCCGGCGCGAGCGACTCGAGCAGCGCCACGAGGCCCGGCACGTTGTTGTCGCGCACCGCTTCGTAGACGCGGTCGTCCTCGGACCCGAACGCTTCCTTGACCCACTTGAAGACGCTCGAGACACCCATGCGCAGCTTGCCCTCGAGTTCGTGGCTAGACGCGTCCATGCGCGAGCCGAGCCGCTCCATCTTGGCCTCGACCTTGGCCGCGATCGCTTCAACCTTGCGCTCGAGGCTCATGCTTTGCAACCAGAAATGACCGCCGTTCACGCGTTAAAGCCAACGACCAACGTTCTTGGTGGGGAATGCAGGTCACATGTCCCATCGGGACGTATAATCATCGGCATGTGCCACATTACACCCACGGATCAACATGGCATATGCCACCATGATATCATGCTCCACACCCTTGGTCCACACCCATGTCCGTACCCGAGCCGTCATCCAAGCTCTGATACCCGATCTAAGATTATAGGAGCCCACTTCTTAGTCAGAGACAGCGCCTTTAACCGACTAAGAGGCAAACACTCGAGGCCGGCTGCCGTGCGGGCAACGTCCTGGCTTACTTTCGGCATCTATGTGGCATATGCCGAATTCAATAAAGAACGTTTGATTTGAATTGCATACAGATGGCAAGTGCATTTAAAACTCAGGTCGAAATGAGACGGTTCCGGCTTTCTCCCGGCAAGCCCGCTGAACATTCCTGCACGGGTCGCCGCCAGCATGGGACGCCGGGCGCGACGCAAGGCGATGGCCTCGTCGAGCGAGAGCGACCGCGACGATGCCATGGAGAAGGGCCATGGAAGCGAGAAGCACGCAGGAGCCATGGAAGACCACGCTGAGCGGATGCACGACCACGACTACCGGCGCGAGCTGCACGCGGCCGCGGTCGCCGTGCACGAGGACGCGGTTGCGCAGAGCCGCCATGCGCGCCACGCGGAGCGTCGAAAGGTTCGCCATGAGAAGGCCATGGAGCGCGAGCTGGCCCATCTCGACGAAGAAAAGGAGAGCTACGAAGCCAAGATGCTCAAGATCTACATACAGCACTCGGCGCGCCGCGGGAAGCTCGATGCCAAGCGCGAGCACAAGGAAGCCAAGTACCGCGACAAGATGACAAAACTAGGCGAGCGCATGGCCGAGCTCGGTGTCGAGATGGACAAGCACGGCTCGGGCGACGGCGCGTCGTCGGCTGCGATGATGAAGATTGGCGAAGAGATGGCGCGTCTCGGGGCCAAGATGGAGCGGGCACGCGGTGCGCCGTCATCCAGCTGGAAGAAAGAAAAGAAGGACCGGGCGTACCAGCAGAGCCAAGGCAGCCTCGAGATGTCTGGCGACACGATCAACGTCAAGACGTCCAAGGAACCGAGCGCATCCTTCTCGTCATCCTCGTCCTCATCTTCAGACGGCGACGACCTCAAGAAGCCCGCGCCTCGCAAGCCGACTAAAAAGTCGGTCAAGGGTCTCCACGTCAAGTGGGAACAAGACGGCAAGTCGATCGACGTCCGCGTCCATGGCAGTGGCGACGACGACGACGACGATGAGGACCGTCATGGCGTCCGGCGGGACGACAAGGTATGGCAAGCCGTCATGGCCAACAACGTCGAGGGTCTTCGCGCGCTCTTCCGGAAGCGCCGGGCGCACATTCTCTTCTCGCTCGAGTACCGCGACGAGCAGAAGCGGACGCCGCTCATGATGGCGTGCACGTATGGTTTCGCCGACTGCATGCGGCTTCTCGTGGAGCACGGAGCCAACTTGCATGCGGTGGACAAGAAGGGCAACACGCCACTGCACTACGCGTGCATCAACGGGCAGTTTGCGATCGTCGCGTACCTTGTCCAGCACACACTGGTCTCGCCGTTTGACGCCAACAAGAGCGACGCGACGCCGCTCGCGCTGACGCGCCACGTGCTCGAGAGCAAGCCCGCGAATTGGCTCGACCTCGCCAAGTGCATCGAGCTCCTCGAGCAGCGTATCAAGGTCTTTGAAGGCTGGCTCTACGAGAGCACGCCAAACTTTGTCGCCGACGTCCTCAACATTGCGTCGATGCAGAGCTGGAAGGCGCGGTATGCACTCGTCTTGCGCAATGGCTCGCGGGACGAGCTCGAATTGCATCTGTTTGATGTGCGCCAGGGCCTGCGCCCGCCGATTCCGACGTACGTCGTCCCGAGATATTTGTGGACTCTACGATATGCTTGTAGGTCGATCCGGCACGTGCCCATTACGAACGGCATCCAGTTCAACAAGTCGGAGCGCTGGTGGAACAAGAAGCCCCACACGTTCCTCGTCAACGGACTCTACGAGTTTGCGGCCTTGGACACACCCGGTTTTGACGCGTGGTTTCGTTTCTTCGAGACGGACGCGGTACAGCGCATCGCCCTCGTCAAGTGCTGATGTCGATTCGTTGTAGACATCCATGGTCGAAGATCGCACCGTCATTACCGAAGAGCCGTCCCACAAGATTTTGGTCGAGGACGACGACGACGATATGTCGTCGCCGGACCACTCACCGACGCACCACCCCGCACCGTCAGCCCCCGACGCCATGGACGTGCCCCCTCTCGACGAGATCGGTGCATGGGGCGCATCGCCACCGTCCAAAACGAACAAGATGGCCAAGCAAGCTTCGTCCAAGCCACCGGCACCACCGGTACCACCTGCACCACCGGTACCCCCACTACCGCCACGAACGACGCCGTACTCGCCAATGCCGCCAACCCCCAAGAAAGACAAACAAGTCGTTGACCTCACCGCGGCAAGTGGCGACGCGGCCCCGGCAGCATCGGCCCCCGACTTTGATGACGACGAGGCGACGCTCCGCCGCAAGTCGTCGCTTCTTGACGACGGCGCAATGAGCGATGGCGCCAAGCGCCGAAAGGGCAAGGACGAGTGTGTCGTGTGCTACGACCGGCCGAAAGCCACCGTGTGCGTACCGTGTGGGCACGTCGCGGTCTGTGTCCAGTGCGCCGAGACGCTGCGGCGGTCGACGGGGCGGTGCCCCATTTGCCGGGGCGAAGTGCGCGAAGTTGTCAAGCTCTTTCATGTATAAACACACACTACTCGACTAGATTCGTACACAATGGTCCGTGTGTGATGTGATACTAACCTGTTTATTGTCAACCCACCATAAACAGTGCCAACATTCCAAAGGGTAAGGGTAGGGTTGGGGTTGTGGCATGACCGAGCTTATGTGGCGTAGCCAAACGTCTTAAAGTAGCCCGCGGCCCGCGTCTGGATCACGTGGCGGAGACGCGGCGGCAGCTCGACAAAGTCGTTGACCTTGTAGCCGGCCAAGGCGGCGACTTGAGCCTCAAACTTGGCTTCGATTTTGTCGGTCCATGGAATGCCCGCGTGGGCATAAATGCGCTGGAGCGAGTGGACAGTCGAGGTCGCCAAGTCGGCGTAGGCCACTTCGAGAATGTCCTTGGCCAGCGCGCCCGTGGTTGCGTCGCGGCTCGCTGCGTAGTACGTGTCGAACATGCGTTCGAATTGCCAGAGGAGGTACTCGTTGACTTGCTCGTCCGTCGGCGTGTTGAGGTAGACATACCAGAACATCGTGTTGGCCATGTGGGCAGTCGACTGGAGCACCTTGTACGGGTCGCGGTGGAGGTAGATGAACGTCGCTTTAGGAAAGAGCTTGCGGAGCAGTGGCACGCGCGCCGTATGGATCGGCGATTTCAGCAAGAGGCGGCGGCGCGTCGTTGACGGCGCCTGCACCAGCGACGAGCGCAGCGTGAGCTTCTTGATGAAGAAAAGAAAGGCCTGCGTCCAGCGGGCTTCATCCTCGGGCGTCGCGCCGTCTTCGGGCGCCAGCGTCAAGAACTTGCGAAGACTTGTTTCTTGGGCCATGAACGCAAACGCTTGGTAGTAGCTGGCGCCGTGCGAGAGGACAGAGGTTGCGCACTCGTCTTCTTGGGGCAAATCAAAGTGCAGAGGCATCGCATCCATGGGCCGCGTCGGCGGGATCTTGGACGCAAAGAGGCGCTTGCCCCACTTTTCAAACCAGAGAAAGGCCGTCGGAAAGCAAATGCAGAACGTCGTGCACGTGTAAAACGAGTCGTCGTCGGACGCGAGGAGGTTGTGCAGCAGCGTCGTGCCGGTCCGCATGTGCCCAATGACAAAGACCGGGTCCTCGGGCAGCGGGATCGCGTCAATCACATGCGACGGGTACCACAGCGACTCGACGAGGCCGACGAGAAAAGAAAAATGGACGCAAACGTCAAGAAGAGCGCGCGCGGGACGTACCGCCACTCGATGTGGCGACCGTTCGTGTACAGGATCGAGAGCCACTGCGGCAGCGACACGGCGCCCATCATGTTGTTGGCGGTCGAGAAGACATGCTTTTGCTGGAAATGGAACTGACCGTCGTCGTCGTCGTGGCTCGTCAGCGGCTTGTCGACCATGGTTGGCAAAACTGGCAATGGCAACGACGGCGCGGACTTCATCCGATTGTTCGCAGCTGACTCGTTACCGACACCGTCGTGTAATGTTCGGCTCGTGGATGCACGGATACCCGATCAGATGTAGTATGCATGCCAGTTTGATTTGATGCATCGCTGCATGAACGAGCGTCCTCTGCACCGTGCAGGTGTTGCCACTCATAGCTGTCTCGGAGCTACCACACCTCGAGCATCACATCGCAATGCTGGAGGCAGCGTCGGACCCTGGCGACGCAACAGAAGGTTTGGTAGGACAGTGGGAGTACCACCTTCGAACAGCAATGTCGTGCTTCAAAGAAGGAGCTGCCTTCGTTGCTCAGAGTGTACTGTACTGAGCACGATGGCCCTGTACAGTACGTACTATGCAGTGGGTAGAGCTTCTCGCGTCGAGGGTCCTCGTCAAACACCACCGAAGGCGACGGTTGCAGCAAAACCGGCAGTCCACTGTGCCATCTCACCTGCATGCACGCAGCTTCGTACGCGCGTCACCGTGTTTGAAACACGGAGCACCACTGTACGTTGCACGACAGTCGTCGGTCGTCTGCGCCGTCTACAAATCAGTGGCCCGAGTGGCCCCGAGCTGTGGTCCCGTGAGCTGGCCCCGTGGAATCGTTCGTCATCAGCGCTCGCATCCCACGCTGGTGTCGCGCCGACATTCAACCGCTGCATGTCCGTGCTGCGACGGCAAGTGGAAGCAAAAACCAAGACGGGTCTCGGTTTTGGATGTCGGCGGATTGAACTTTTGTTGAAGCGCACTCCGTCCGAAATCAGCTCAGCCGCTTGCAGGAGCGGGCCAAAGCCACTTACTCTTACGCCATCATCCCAAGCTATTAGTCCCAAAGCGCAATCGTGTGCCTCTTACGTGGCATAGCCAAACGTCTTGAAGTAGCCCGCAGCCCGCGTCTGGATCACGTCGCGGAGACGCGGTGGCAGCTCGACGAACTCGTTGACCTTGTAGCCGGCCAAGGCCGCGACTTGGGCCTCAAACTTGGCTTCGATCTTGTCGGTCCAGGCAAGGCCCGCGTGGGCGTACACACGCTTGAGCGACGGCATGGTTGACGACACTAAATCGGTGTAGGCCACTTCGAGAATGTCTTCGGCCAACGCGCCCGTGCTTGCATCGCGGCTCGCAGCATAGTACACATCGTACATGCGCTCGAACTGCCAGAGCGTGTACTCGGTGACTTGCTCGTCCGTCGGCGTGTTGAGGTAAATGTACCAGAACGCGGTGTTGGCCATGTGTGCGGAGGATTGGAGCACCTTGTACGGGTCGCGGTGGAGGTAGATGAACGTCGCCTTGGGAAAGAGCTTGCGGAGCAGTGGCACGCGCGCCGTATGGATCGGCGATTTCAGCAAGAGGCGGCGGCGCATCGTTGACGGCGCCTGCACCAGCGAGGAGCGCAGCGTGAGCTTCTTGACAAGAAAGGTAAACGCGAGCGTCCAGCGGGCTTCATCCTCGGGCGTCGCGCCGTCTTCGGGCGCCAGCGTCAGGAACTTGCGAAAGCATGTCTCTTGGGCCATAAAGGCGAGTGCGAGGTAGTAGCTCGCGCCATGCGAGAGGAGACTCGTTGCGCACTCATCTTCTTGGGGCAAATCAAAGTGCAGAGGCATCGAGTCCATGGGCCGCGTCGGCGCAATCGCACGTGAGAAGAGGCGCTTGCCCCACTTTTCAAACCAGAGAAAGCAGCTGGGAAAGCCCGCGCAGAACGTCGTGCAGTGGTAAAACGAGTCGTCGTCGGACGCGAGGAGGTTGTGGAGGAGCGTCGTGCCGGTCCGCGGGTGCCCAATGACAAAGACCGGGTCCTCGGGCAGCGGGATCGCGTCAATCACATGCGACGGGTACCAAAGCGACTCGATGAGGCCGAGCGAGAAGGTAAAAAGGGACGAGAGCGTGAGAAAGGCCACGCGCAGGAGGTACGGCCACTCGATGTGGCGGCCGTGGGCAGAGAGGATTGCGAGCCACTGCGGCAGAGTGATGCCGCACATCGGATTGTTCTGCGTTGAGAAGACGTGCTTTTGCTCAAAGTGAAAGAGACCGTCGTCGCACGGACCCGCGGCCATCGCCGCGTCATCAAAGCCCTCGACATTATGATGGCGCTCCATTTTTTGCAAAATAATGGCGCCGAGTCAAGTCGAATACTACATGTACCGGTAGGCTGCTTTTGCTACCAAGATATCTCGGTTCAGATTTCCATGGACAATACTGTAATGTAGTAGGCTGCTTTTGCTACCAAGATATCTTGATTCCGATATCCGTGTGACATGTCCGAGGGCTCCGAAACGTGAAATCCGGACCAAACAAATCCGATTCCAGCCTCTCTATCCCGATATCGAGAACACGAGAGCCATTCATCTTGCACACCGTATGAGCGACGAGCTGCCTACCAAGACGAAGAAGACGTTTCGCTTCTCCGTCGCATCGGATGTCGATCTCCTCAAGGAGGTGATTAACGTGGCCCCGTACGACGCTCCGTTTGGCCAAACAATAGCACGCTGGGAAGAGGTCACTGAGCACATGCGCGGAATTCACGGCGAGCACGTCACGTTTACCGGGTGCCGCAAGCGCTTCGACGACCTCATGGCGGCCTTCAAGAAAGACGCTCTCAAGGCGATGCGAGCGTCAGGCACCGCAGCCGAAGTTTGCGAGCGCGACCTGCTACTTGAGGATATTTCCGACCTTGTGAGTCGAGCGCCAAGTCTCTTCGACTAGCTCCTACGTGTGCGTAGATGGACGCCGTGGCAGACAAGAAAAAGGCAGCCAAAGAAGACAAAGGGAAGAAGGTCGACACGAGCGAGAACGACGGGCACCGCATTCGTGCTGCGGCGCTGCAAGGTCTCAAGCGCAAGACAGCAGGCGGCGATGACGACCAGGAATCGGACCATGAGGACCATGACGAAACGCCATCAAAGAGAAGCAAGCGCGCCGCTGCGGCGACGAACGACGTCGCGAGCGTTGTCAAGGACTTTTTGAGCATGATCGCATCGACCAACCAGCTGAAGCACGAGGAAGTGGCCGCCAAGCGAGAGGAAATTGCCGCCAAGCGAGCGGAAGTTGCCGTGAGGAAGGAAGAGCTCGCGCTCAGGCATCGCAAGCTTGAGCTGGAGGAGCAGCGGTACCTCCTTGACAAGGCCGAACGCGAGGCTCGATTCCAGATGGAGAAAACGGAGCGCGAGGCGCAGCTCCAGTTTATGCGTAGCACCATCGAAATGATGCGGTCTCTTACCTCAAACAAGTAATAAATGTACTCGCATCCTCCATGTAGATGTGTTGCTTGCAGATGGAGAAGCTCTTCGGCCGTGGGTGGGCACAAGCCCAAGCGGCTCGTCACTTGAGTTCCTCACTTCATATTACACGCAGTACAGACATCACGGAAACACAGCAGTGTACTAGTATGCCGAGCGGCTGGAGCCAGAGCTTAGAGCCACCGTTGTAATCCATGCACGTCTGCAGGTAGCGGACGATGCAGCTCCCACTCGACACTCACTCGTACCGGGCTCATGCACCGATTGCACTAAGCCTCGTGCTCGTCAAGATTGGCGCCATTGAAGCCATGACACGAAGTCCAGCAAAAGACACACACATGCAGGGAGTATGGCGGTGTGCAAGGAGAGCAACACAAATGCAGCTTATCTCGCTTGTACTTGAGTCTCTAACCGTCCTTCAATGACGGTCAATGGGGTATTCCCTTGAGGACGATAGACGTCGCATAATTGGACTGAAGAGCTCCAGAAGGCTGGTACTATGTCGTGTCGAGCCTTTTACGAAAAGATTGGGCAGGCTTAGAGCCATCCGTCGAGTTCGATTCGTCATTTGCCAAGCTTCCGGACGCACTTCCATATAACATCTATTTGCAGCGTGCGGGAATATACACCGATATGTACTGAGTATCACTGGGGCTGGTCTCACATTGTCGGACGAGCATTCATTGATGTAAGCCATGGCGTCCGTCTCGACGTGGCATAAGTTAGTAAAGCGTAGTTGTGGCGCAACGCTAGGCGGTTTTGGTATATTGTGGATGGCTTGACGTGTGCAAGCGCGACGCAGAGTTCTGGGCTCCGTGGGCGGTCATTGCACGCTATATTGTCTTGGTAAGCACATGTGTTGCCACTTGAGATACGCACCGCGGCAACACACATAAAAGACGCCCAGCGCTCGTACTCGTCTTCGTTGAAGGCCGCGAGCTCAAAGAGGTCGGGGCGCCCGAGGTAGCCGCCAGGCATCTTGCGCGACCCGGCGATCGTAAAGTTGTAGGGTTTGGGGTTGAACATCTTGCGCTGCGAGTTGAGGACAACGGGATCGTGCACGCGGAAGAGAATCGTCGACCTATTGCGTGTGAGTTAACGCGTAAATGGACATAGAGGACACGTCGTACTGGGGCGTGAGCTGGCGCAGGCCATGCTGCACATCAAAGCAGGCAATCTCGACAAAGTCGGGCGATCCAACCGAGAAGACCACGGCGTACCTAGAGTTGCGTTTGGAGTTTGGAGTTTGTATTTCCGCTCTGTACCGGCGAACCCATGACTGGAGGCTACGCAGACCCAACGCCGAGGACGCGAGGTTGTTGACGCTTTCGTAAAGCCACCCTTCAAAGAGCCGGGAGCGCTACACGCATGTCCAAGCTTGAGCAATATCAACGCGCTGGATTCTGTACCTGCTCCAGAAGCTCCAAGCACTTGGCCGACGCGAGCACTTGTCGACGGCAATCGATGTTGCGCCGGCAGACGTCCATGGCCGAGAGGCCTTCGCGGTTGCGCAGCGCCGGGTCCTGCACGCTGAGCAGCACGCCCACGAGGTCAAAGTGGCTGTGCATGCAAGCGTGATGAAGCCCTGTATGACCTTGGTTGTCTTGCGCGTACACATTGGCGCTGTGCATGAGGAGCGCTTGGACGCACCGCACGTGGCCCTTGGCGCAGGCGGCAATCAGCGGGTCTGTCTGTGGCGATTCAGTTACTCGAGCACAGGGCGCAGTTGGGCGGCGTCGTTGGGCAAACCCGCCAAGTGCTGCAGCATGAGCATGTCGTCGCCTGCGTTGGCCGCGGTCCAGACACGGTTGGCAGGCAGCGTGGTCGTTGCGAGGAGCGAGGCAAAGAGGCCGAGCTGCTTGACGCCGTTCGCCGCCTGCACGACGCGCTGCAAGGCGCTCAGAGATCCCTGCCGCTCGACGGGTCCCTCTTTTACCTTCGTCTCTTGGGACAGCATCATGGGCGGGGCTTCTTGCGGGTTGGGCGCCATCGTCGCTGCGACCATGGCGTCTCCCTAGCGATGTCGGAATGCGTGTTGCCGCCGACGTGTGGGCTCAAAACGGTTCGGAATTTGAGTTTTACAACCGGCCCAAATACCTTGTTTTTATATAGAAGCGACCTCAACGATCAAGTATATGACTTTCAGTATGGACTGGCAAGGCGTGGACGACTCAATGACTATTGAGTTTGCAGTTGCCAGTGTGTGCGCCAAGGCTGGCAAATGCCGTTGGTGCTGCAAGGTTGGGTCGCAGCCCCTTTGACAGGCATAGGCCTCTCATGGAAGATGCCATGGCGCTCCAAAATGGCGGTCCAACTCCAAAATGGCGATCCAACTCAAAAATGGCGGTCCAGCTCAAAAATGGCGGTCCAGCTCAAAAATGGCGGTCCAACTCAAAAGCGCAGACGCTCGTTTTGTTTCACGCGTGTCGTGGAGACAGAAATTCTCGCCAGCACTCACTCTGGTGGGTCGTTTTGAGTTTCATGGGTCGTTTTGAGTTTTGTCCAAGAAAACTCCCTCCAATTGCCAATCAAAGCGCGCCAAAATCCCGTCTTCCGTCCATCATGGTCACGTCATAATGTCTCGTTCATGCGAGCAGGATGTATTACTCGGAGTACATCCGCGCAAGAGGAGGATTCCATTCTGCTATATGGTACTCGATGCGGCACCCAAAGAGGCGACCGTCGGGCATGTACAATACATGTCGTAGTAAAGCCAGCGTCGGATAGCATCGGCAAGGCAGTTCCTTGATGCGTCAGGGGTTTCGCCTTGCTGGCGGTTGCCGTCGAATAAGAAAGAACTCAGAACTCACACGAATGTTTTCCAGATTCGTGCTTCTCCGTGTTTTCTCGTGCGAGATTCGTAAATCGTTTCCCACTGATCACTTCCGATCGCTCGGATCTACAAGCGGTCGCGCGCCTTGCACCTCCCTATTCCACAAGCGCCGGCCTTTCATAAATGCAGTGACATGAGCTACTAGTACCGCTATTGGCATGGACACTACTCACTACTGCCGGCGCGGTTATCGTCTTTTTCACACACGCGACCGGATATTTACCGGTACGCTGTTCCACGCACACCATTTGCGTTTGTTTCGAATCTCCGTTGACGAAGCATTCCAAATAGTGTGCTTGTTCGATTTCGAACGCAAGCCATTCGAATTTTCGAGACGTTGGCAGCCACGAGCGCCTTGTGCACGCTCGTCGGAGGTTCATTTGCGTGTACTGCGACTAGACGGCGGGCATGCCAATGTGCAGTCTGTCCATAGTATGTACCTCTGGCCCGATCCCTCTCATCCGATCTTGAAAGCTTGCTTGAACCCGAGGATCCGCGCATTTCGGGCGCAGCGTGTGGGACGTGGGCGGGAATTTCTCGCGCGGCAGAGAAAAAAAGCACGGGGCCGGCCATGCTATACCTTGGTGTTTGTATACCGAGCGGTGCATTACGTAACGCGCGCCGTGTACTTGGCGTTTGTATGCGAAGTGCATCACGCGTTGTGATTGGCGGAAAATTTTCTCGCGGCGCGTGGGATTGGCGCGTGCCTCTGAGTGGTGGCTACGCTTTAAAATAGAAGGTTTGGCGCTTTGTCTTGGCGTTTGTATGGCATCCGAAAAAGACGGGGGTTTCCGGTTGGGAATTCAGTTGTTCAGCTCCACCGACGAAGACAGCATCGTCTTCCTCGCGTGACCGTCCCCTGCGCCACCTCTTCCTCGTCGTCGTCGCCCGCCATCTCCATCGACGGGTTCCTGGTACATGACGCGTAAGGCGAGGCGCATCGCGCTCATCGTGGTGATGGCCTAGACTTGCTCCATCTCTTCCTCTCTGCACCGTCGCCTCGACCGAGACACTTGCGGCGCGAGGTGGGTGGCATGGCGATTCGCCGCAGCGATTGACACGTGTGCTTGTGCTCCTAGACAGGACTTATAGCCACGGCCATGGCGTACACCTTTACGTGCACGAACGACTGGCTCTTGACGGACGACGAGCTTAAGAGCTCGCCGTCGAGCCGGAAGGGCATTGCGTGGGACCAGGAGGTCGAGCTCCGGAAGAATGGCATCATCTTTTTCGAGAGCCTCGCCAAGATCTTCCGCATCCCGCGCCTTGCCGACTCGACGGGCAAGCAATTGTTCCATCGGTTCTTCACGCGCGAGTCCTTTACGGACCATGACAAGTACCTTGTCGCGGCCACGTGCCTCTTTCTGGGCGCCAAGGCCGAAGACCATCCGCTCGCGATCGCCAACTTTGCCGAGCACTACATTGCGCAGCGCCGGTCGGTCACGCTCGAGTTTGCCTTGCGCTACCACACGATCGAGTCGATCTCGGAGGCCATCTTGGCCAAAGAGTACGTCGTCCTGCACGCGCTCGGCTTTGACCTGGACGTGGCGTTTCCGCACATGCTCTTGAACGACAAGATTGAGCGCCTCGTGGAGCTCCACACGGCGTTGACAACGGATGAGAAGGCATTGCTCTCCAACACGCTCCTCAAGACCACGTGGAGCTTCTTGAACGACTGCAGCCGGACGCCGCTGTGTCTGCGCCTCGACGCCGACGACATTGCGGCCGGCGCCGTGTACCTCGCGGGCATGCTTGACAACACGGTGCCCGATACGGTCACGACCCGCGACGGCCAGCCGTGGGAGTGCGTCCTGCGCACGAATCAAGACATGCTCATCGACGCGGCGACCTTCATCTTGGAGGCGTACGTGTGCGACGGCATTGACGAAAGCAAGCTGAGTCCGTGCATCGTCGAGCTCCTCAACCGCTTCCACCCGTACCGCGGGCTGGAAGAGGTCGAGTTCAACACGGACGACCAGACGTCGCCCTTGTCCTTTGTGTGCATGGACGACGGCGACGACAACACGACCGACCTCGAGTCGGACGTGGTGAATGGCGGCACCCCCGACGACATTGCCGACAAGGCCTTTGAGGACGAGCAGTATGACTACCTCGGGAAGCTCTCGTCCAAGAAGCGTCGCCTCAGCATGGACGACGACGATGACGTGGACGCGTCGCCCTCGTACACGCCGTACTCGCCGCCCTATGGGTGCGATGCGCCGGTGGTGACGCCATTCTCGCCGATTGCCTCGAGCAAGCGGCCGAAACTTTGATTATTTATGCCTGGGCCCCAACCCCGCCCTATTTAAAAAGACGAGAAAAAGCAAGTAGCGGATAGACGACGACGAAGCGACTGCGTGTGGATGTATCTTAACTTATCGCGGTCGGGCTACCCGCGCCCGACCCCATCAACATCATCAGCATTGGGGTTTTGTGAAACATAAAAATAAAGATTAAATTCACACTCATTTCAACCACTCTCTTCCTCTTCACTTTGTTCTCACTGTCGTCCTCGGCTCGTCTGCCACCACACGGCTCGTCCTGCCTGCATCGTGCACTAAGATCTACGCTCTTCTAGCCGAGACAATAAGATCTACAGTACGGTCTTATAGCCGAGATTGCCCATCAAGACAGAGCCCTTGTACCAACTGCATCAACCAGTTGGACTCCATCGAGATGCTTCCAGCCGGTGTTAACGCTGGTTTAGTTGGCCTTGGGACAGCTCAGAGAGAAGTACTACGTATCTTGGAGCTGGTCTCATAGCACCGCATGAGAGTACGAGGTCGGAGGATCGTCGTCGATGGTATAAAGCCCGACCTCGCACCTCATTCGACCGCACCTGTCGTCGCTTGACGAGACCACACGCCATTGCATCTTGTATATTATCCTCCTCTTATCACGGCAGCGGGCGCTGGGCTTGATAAATATAGTAGATGATGAGGCCAAAGACGAGCGCGCGCCACCCGAGGAGCAGCGTCAGGATCACAAAGATGAGGAGCGTGACCTTCTCGACGGGTGCGCTGCGCATGCAGAGGATCGGGATCGCAGGCATGTTGACCGTGCCCTGCATGCCAATGGCCGCGCCAAAGCGGCTAAAGGGCGAGTCCGAGACGGGCGGCGCCGGCGCGTTGGTGCCCATGCTGTTGACGGTCGTGATGTTGCCGCCGGGCGCCCGCGTGCTGCCAAAGCGCGCTGAGCCATAGTTGGGCGGCTCTGAGCCTTGCTTCTTGATCTTGAGCACGCGCGGGTCGTTGTCCGCGACGATCTCGCCGTTGATGATGTGCACCATGCTCACTTCTCGGCAAAACGACGACTGCCTGCTTCGTCGGTGGTTGAAATCGGCAGATGCCGAATTGGAATGGTGCAACTGAGCACGACAGAGTAGTGGGCCGAATTGGAATGCGTGCGGCCTTTCTGAGCACGACAGAGTGGGCATGCGTAGCATCGACTCCAGTATAGGTTGGCGTTGGATGACGCACAAGACGAGCATCGACTCCAGTATAGGTTGGCGTTGGATGACGCACAAGACGACCGGCATCGTCTTGAACGCGGCAATGGCATGCGAAAGCCGCGTTGGCATGCCGAAAATACGTTGGTTTAGGACAATGTGCCACGTGGAAAGTCAAATCTAGGCCATTTCGGCACGTTGAAGTTTACAATTAGGACAGGCCCGCGATTTCCGAACAGATCTTTTGCACAAACTCTTGCATGTACGCGTGGCGCTCGTCCGCAATGCGCCGGCCCGCGTCCGTCTTCATCATGTCCTTGAGCTTGAAGAGTTTCTAGTGCCATTGTTCAGTTCGACATGGAGGTTCAGATTGCACACGACCACCTCATAAAAATGGTTGAGCGTCGCGCCGTCCTTATTCTTCATGTACGCCTCTTTGTCCATGCCGACGTTCGGGGGACTCTCGACATCGTAGAGTACGCGCTTCTTGTGGCCACCGTACGTCAAGCAGCGGGCAATACCAAGGGCGCCAATCGCATCCTACACACTTGGTGAAAAAAATGCTATCGAGCATCCTCTTCGTACCAAGCGGTCAGCATCTTGGACACACGCGAGCTCGGGGAACATCGCCTCGGCCTATATAGCGCCCCATTCGTTGCCTGCTACTACAAGGAAAGGGCAACGTACTCCACCCGCGAGCTCCTCCTTGAAGCCAACACCCTTGATGATCTTGAGCACGAAAGCGATCTTCTCGGCCTCCACGTTCTAGATCCCGACGCGTTCCGAGACATTCCATGGAAGCGCATTGCGTACCTGGGACTGGAGAAAGGCCAGCGCTCGCTCGCTCGTCTCGCTACCAGCGTACTTCCAATCGTCAATGTCGTGGAGGAGCGCCGCGAGCACGACGCAGTCCATGCGTGCGACCTTCTCTTCGGTCGCAATGCGTACGCTCATCCGCCACACGCGTTCAATGTGGTTCCAGTCGTGCGACGCGTCGTTGGACGAGAGAGCGCTGCGCACAAACTCGACGGTCTTGGCGATGAGCGGGTCGGACGTGGCCATGACCGGGCCAAAGCGTGCGCGCCATGCGTCGGCTGTGATCGTGCTGCCATTGGTTGCCATGGTACTGCGTGTCCTTGGTTTGAAAGCTGGTGCTAATAAGCGCGAGGCGAATTGAGTTGTGCAGACGCTTCAAGCACCTGCAAAAGCACTGGTCGTCCACAATGTGCGGGAAGGCGCGTGCCATGCAGTTGCCGCCATTTTGCACTTGCCGTTTTGCCACCATCTGGTGGAGTGACTAACATGGGCTGTCCTTTTATAGATTGTGCTCTTGAATATACTTGTAATGATTGGTTTTTACAGGTATATAGACTTGGTGCGGTGTATATACGTTAGTTTCCTTATGTCCTTGCTGGCAAGTGCAACCTCAGTGACAGCAAGTTTGTATGGTGCGTCGCACGGGCCAATCAAGGTCGCCGAATTCGGCGTCGGTCCTTCCAGCGCACAAGACGGACGATCGATGCTGCAAGCCCGCGAGAAGACCCGCGACCTCGTCACGCGCTGCTTTGTGAACGGCCTTGGCTACCGCGTCGCAGCGGTCTACGCACCCAACGTGGCCAACGTCATGCGGGCCAAGTGGACCGACCAGCACAACCCAGTGCTCTCGACGCAAGACACGCGCGAGTGGTCCGAGTACATGGCCGGTGCGACGATGCTGAGCGCCTTCTTCAAGGGCGAAGAGCGCGTCAAGATGAGCCTCAAGAATGCGTCGCACCACATTCAAGTCGAAGCCATGAGCGTCGGTGAGGTCCGTGGCTACACACGTCCGGACCCGACGGGCCCGACGGCGTACTCGGTGCTGGAAGTCGACAAGGTGCTGTACGGCGCCGCCAAGCCGTACAAGACGATCCTCTCGAGCATGGGCAGCGCGCAAGCGGATTGGCAAATGTACTACGACGTCTCGGAGCAGGTGCCGACGATCGTCAAGATCGAGTCGGGCGTCGGCGAGAACGACGAAGTCGCGTGCTGCGGTATCACGGTCCAAGAGCTGCCGCAGGTCGAGAAGCCGTCGCCGCTCCAGGACCGTCTCCGGCTCTTTGAGGCCCTCGATATGCTCGAAATGGTGCAGTCGGAAGGCATGCTCAGCGTGCTCAATGTGCTCTTCCCCGAAGTCGCCATTTCGGCGGACGACTGCAAGCGGATGCCCGTCGACTACTACTGCCGCTGCTCGAAGGAGCGTTTCGTCATGCGCCTCCACCAGCTGCCGGCGGACGACCTCAACGACCTCGTCTCGGAGGGCGGCGTGAGCATGTCGTGCAACTACTGCAACGCCGCGTACTTTGTCGACGCGAACCAGGTCCAAGCGATCGCGATTGAGAAAATGGCCAAGTAGAATAGTACCATAATTGATACAACGACCCACCTGTCGCTCCACCTCGATGAGATCTTCGCGCTGCTCGGTGTACCATGGCTCCGTCTAGAAAGAACGAGTGCTCGTCTAGCCTCTCGAGCTACGGCAGCAGTCTTGGTGAATGTCCATTCCTTTCCATACCCGAACGATTTTTGCGCACGATTATCAAGTTGATATTTCCGCAAAAAGATACGAAAAGGTTTCGTATCACACATTCGTGTACCGTGTATATCTTGAGGAGTCGCGCGTTGTAGTTGTGTGGCTCGCACATTCGAATGTCGTCCAAGGCCCGCGCATCGACCACGTCCAAGAAGACGGACAAGTCCTCGTCGGTACCGGCGGAGAAGGACGAGCGCAATGCGCGGCTGCGCTCCCACCTCGACGACCTCGACACGTACATGGAGAAGCTCTACGAAGAGGACATGGAGTCCAAGCTCGACGGCGTCACGCAGATCCTCAACCTCTCGGAGTTTGGCGCCAACATTGAGGTGCTCATCCAGAACGAAGCACTCATGGTATCGCAAAAGCTGGCCTTGTCTCCACGTCACCCTCTTGACATACTAGAGCCTTCTCTCGCGCGTCCTCAACGACGAGTACAAGAAATCGTACGACTTTTCGCTCAACATGATGCGCATCTTTTGGTGCTACTCGAACTTTCTCCAGCTGCACCCGATCCTGAGCAACTACCGCATTGGCGCGATTACGCTCAAGATCGTCGACTTTGAGGTCAAGCGCCACGAGCTCCGGCGCGAAGAAGAGCGCGCGCTCGAGCGGACGATCGCCGAGCAGCAGAAGGCGGGCATCGAAGCCGACGCGGTCGCCAAGCTCAAGGCCGAGAAGAAGAAGAACAAGAAGCGGCTCAAAAAGCAAGACCAGCTCCTGTACCTCGAGCTATCAACGGGTTGGTATGTACTAGTGGATATGTATATGTAGGTACGTCTGTCTCAGCGTGCTCTTCAACCTCGCCGAAGACATTCACACGGAGCGTAAAATGGTCAAGAAGAAGATGGTGCATTTTTTGGCCAAAATGCTCGACCGCGTGACTCCCGATTTGGTCATTCTCACAATCGGGTTTCTCAAGAAATTGAGGTACAAGTTGGCACGAAAATATGCATGCCGACGTTTTCGACTAGCGTTTTCGAGGAAAACAAGGAGACCATGATCGAGCTCCAAGTGCCGGAAAATCATCCGCTACGTCAAATGCAACCACGACAAGACGGCCCAGGTGCGATAGACTCTACCGCGCGAAATGATGCACCGATGAATAATGATGGGATGTAGATTGCGCTGAAACTCCTCTTTAACCTCTCGTGGGACGCCCGCGTGCGCGAGGCCATGGTCAAAAACAGCCTCGTCCCGAGTCTCGTCGAGCTGCTCAAGAAGCCGCCTTTCCGCGCGCTCACGCTGCGTCTCCTCTACCACCTCTCGATGGACGACCGGTGCAAGTCGATGTTCACGTACACGGAGGCGATCCCGATCGTGATGCAGCTCGTGATCAATTTTCCTCAAAACATCGTCGCCAAGGAGCTCATGGCGCTCGCTGTCAATCTGAGCATCAACGCGCGCAATGCCGAGATGATGACGCAAAGCAAGGGCCTCGAAGCGCTCGTCCAGCGCGTCCTTCGCACGCGGGACGTGCTGCTCATGAAGGTACATATTGCGGCCAAGAGTTAAGCGCTTGCGAGATTTTTTTGCCGCATTTTGACCTTGTGTTTCATTGTTTTTGCTAGTGCATTCGCAACATTTCCCAATGGTCGTATACGATCCAAGAAGAGCTCACGGCCGAGCGCAACTACAAGTACAAGGGGCTCTGGGCGCCGTTTGTGATGCCTCTTCTCGAGCTCGCGCAAGGCTCGGACAACCACGACCTCGTCGTTGAAATCCTTGGCACCTTGGGCAACATGACCCCGAATGACTTGCCGGCCAAGACAACATGGGACAAGCTCCTCACGCAGTCCGTCTCGGTGATTCCGTTCCTGAGCAAGCTGCTCGTGCGCGGCTTTTCTCAGGTAATACATTTCAATCGGTTGTGAAAACATTGTGGAAACATTGTCTATGGATAGGACGACGTCGTGCTGCAAGTCGTCATGTTTGTGAGCGCACTCATGCTCGAGCCCAAGTGCGCGCCGCTGATCACGTCGTCGCGCATCGTCCGGAGCTTCCACTTGATCTTTCAAGACAAACAAAACGACTGCGAGCTCACGCTGCAGCTGCTCTTTTGCTTTTACCGTATGCTCCGGCACCCCGAGACGCTGGATGACATTCTGTATGGCTGCAACATGCTCCCGGACCTGCTCCTTGCCGCCGACTCGGCCAATATCGAGGTATCAACCACATATCACGAGAGTATCGAAAACGAATGGCAATCGCATAGGTGCGCCGCATGTGCGATACGGTCCTCGACGTCATCATTGACCACGACATCCACGAAGGCGAAGTCGGCGAGTTTGGCCGCCAGATTCGCCGCCGCCGGTTCGAGATCCACAACGCAGAGTACCTCAGCATGCTCCACCACCACGACGCCCACGACGACGAGCACGGCTTGCACCTTGGCGACGATGACGATCACCTTCGCCACGACGACGACGACAACTACCGTCATCGTAAATAGTGTGGCTTTCAACCCACCGTGCATATTTCCTAGCCTTTTCTATACATCAAGCGCCACTCTATGTTTGTGTTGGTAGCAACATCATCGGCCATGAAGGCTTGGCACGCGAGTATCCGTCCGTGTGATGGCTGCGTCCGAAATATGCGACATGACACCAAGGGGTAGGGTATTCGCGGTTGCGACAAAAGAGAGTGTGGGACGTTGTTGCGGACTCGGCAGCATTGTTTATGCGAACGCGACGGGGTCCGAGAGGATTGAGATCGTGGTTGGAGGCACGGCGTCGTGAAGGACTTGCCACATGGCGCGCGTCGATGCCGTTGGCGTGTGCTTTCCCGAGTAGTCGAGGGCGTCGACATGCCACATGCCAAGGCCGCCGAGGTCCGCGGCGAGGGCAAACTTGGCCTGGAGGCTCTCGGGGTCGTCGTACCACGTTTGAACCACTCCACCTGTCGCGTTGCGATGGACAAAGTACGGCGTCGCCGTAACGTTGTCCCAGCGGCGCTTCGTGGTATGGAGCTGCGCCATGACGTCGCGGTAGTCGAGCTGAGAACCGGCCGCGTCGCTGCAGGGTGCGCCTCGAAACGGTACCTAGCGCGTCATTTCAAGCGCAACACACAGATCGATGTGTACCATCGAGAGCGAGCAGAGGTCTGCGATCGGGTCGTAGTGGCGGCACGGGTACTGGTAGGCGTACCAGGGCAGCCCGAGGAGGAGCTTGGCCTTGGGCACCTTGGCACCGTAGACGTAGTCGTCAAGGCCGCGCTGGACTTGCGCGATCGGACTGTTGGCACCGGCGAGGCAATGGTCGTAGAGCTGGCTGCGCATGTCGTACTACGTGGAGATGCATCGCTTGCTTGGACGATGAGAGATCATCGCGATACCGCCATGACAAATACATAGTCGGCGGCGGCGGCGAGGCCCGCATAGTCGTAGTAGCGCTGGTCGATGCCACTCGGCGACCACGCAACGTCAAACGTGATCTGGTTCACGGCTGGATGAGAGGACGGGACGGAGAGGAGGAAGGACCTGGGCGTGGCGCGTGAACGCGTGCGCCTGCAACTCGACGCGCAGCTCTTGCAGTAGCAGCGTCAAGCAGGCGGCGTGGTCGTGGCGTGTGATTGCAGCTTCTGTGTCGACGTTGACGCCGTCGGCGTAGTTGGTCACGATGGCCGTGTACGTGGCGTGCACCCACGCCTCGCGCGCACTCGCATTGCAGAGCTGGTCGACGTGCTCGAAGTTGTGCAGCACGACGATCTTGACGCGATGGGCGTGCGCGTGGCAGAGCAAGCCTTTATCGAGGTTCCACGCGATCGTCGTCAGCACCGAGTAGTCGTAGTAGCGCCAGTTGTCGCTCGCAGCCGGCGAGAACGCAAACACCTCAAAGCGGCGGCCGGATGCGACCGGCAAGCACAGCGACGCCTCTGCGCAGGGGCACGCCGCCAAGCTCGCTTGCTCCAGCGCGTTCCACGCCGCCATGGCCGAGACGGCAAGAAGGCTCCACAAGACCACGAGGACCGTCCTGCCCATCGCCGATGTCGGTGCCCGAATGTATCCGGACGAATGTGCGGTATCCTTCAGAGGCGAAAGACGACTAACTAAACAAGTTCAACAAATCCCATCGGCAAGCAAGTCGACACACAAAACGACTAAGGCTAGCTGCACGCAACACTAATGACGTGGCAGTCCGAAAGGCAAAATCGCCAAGGAGCCGTCGAGCACGCCCACTGCGACGAAACGAAGTCTTGCGCTCGCTCCTAATAGCGACCAGGATATGCTTTTCTATCGAGACCCGGCGAAATGCCTTTGCGCATTTAGGTTTATAGCCGTTTAACTCGTCTGGGTGTAGGTGAGGACAATCACTTGGTCTGGTGCGCTGTAAAATCACTGCGTCGAGAGCACAAATCGTCAGGTCAGAGGTCGCTAATTACTCTAGAACGTCACAGTGCTATTGCGTAGTATACATCGATTTACATTGTCGGTACTGTACGATGGCTGCATTGGTCTTGCCATCGGCGCTTGTTTCCACACGAAGCTACGGCTGGGCTGCGGCGGGTCAAGGTACATGTACATCGGGCAGTGGCAAGATGCTGTCGCCAGGAGCACGATCTGCAGGAAATGCATGCGCAGGGAGACCCACCGTTGATGAGCGCGTGGGTGGGCGTCTCACTCGGCGCAACGACGCCGGCTTCCACAATACCACTCGCCAGCCAGCGGCTCCGGCTCGTACATGGCCGTGACGCTGCCACGCAAAACCTGCAGGCGCCGGTACTTGAGCTGAACCTAGGCAGACGGTGGATGCTTGCGGCCCTGGCAGCTGGCCGAACGAATCATGCGACCTCTTGTTGAGGATTGCAGCGAGTAGGTACAGGGGGTGTCTTTTACCTTGGACAAGGCTACTTGTTTTAAGGCCTCGGTCTCCAACGGGAAGAAGAGAACCGGTGCTTGGCGTCGTCCGTGTGTGCCACAACGACGAGCTCCCAACGACCCGACGACGCAGGCGATGCAAGAGCCCCCAAATGGCGCTTTGTTTATGACGACAAGGCGAAGACACTACCACGTCGCCAAGGCCCTACAATTGTACCCGTCTCGGGCACTGTAGGGAACGAGACGACCAATTCACAAGGTTTTGTGAAGGTTGTTTCTCTTTCTGTTCATTGCGATAGATGTATTTTCACAGCACCTCAACACCATAAGTAGTGTCCTCAACACCATGATGGGCAGTAGTGTCGAGGGGTTGTCTCCTCCAAAGCAGGAATGTACTACATGATGGAGCAACAAGTCCGTGGCGCGATCCTGCCGTGGTCGTAGCAGCTTGAGGCAATGAGGTGCCCTCTCGCGAGCCAACAACACAAAGATCAACATGACAGCTTACATTCAAGTTACGTTGGTGAAGTACGTATGGGCGATGGCGAAGAGTGGGCGAAGGGCGCGGCCCTACTCTTGCTGCGACGGAGCGCCGAGCGTAATGCCTTCGGATTCATCGACCGGCGGACCCGGGATCTGGAACGGAAAGTCGACGTCGATCTCGCGGCGAAGGTCAGCGAGTGGTCCAAGGGCCTCTACGACAACACGAGGAAATAAGACGTTGTACGGTGTAGTGATCTGTACTACCGCGAAAGTCTGGGGACTGGAGCTCGCCGTAGATCTCGAGGGCGTCGGCCATGGTAAACTTCATGTTGTGACGCATTGCCTTGTCAAATGCTTCCTCGTCGTCGAGGAAGTTGGACGTAAGGTCCGGCGCCGGAAACCACGCCGAGGGTTTCGCGTCTGACGACGAGTCGATACGGTCCATGTCAGGTCGTGTTGCAGTACTAGTATGGTCGCCAACCTCGCGAGACGTAGCTGCTTCAGAAGCCGCTGGCACCGCTTGCGCCTACAACATGTACACAGGATCGACGTCGGTATGGCTTGCTCTTGTCGCACCGCCGCCGGGGCGGGTGTCGAGGACGTCGTCGCGTTCGCGGCCTTGGCCGGGGAGGACATTGGCTCGCTCGATGCATCTTGCGCGGCTGCGCTGCGCGGATGCTCCGTCTTCTGCGAGCTTGAAGTCATTGCCCTGGCGCAGAGCAGATGCATGCATGCATGTGTACCTTGGCGTCGTTGACCATGTTGCGGCGGCTTTGGCAATTGATCACTGCGAGATTTCAAGTATTTTGTATATTGTTTCAAAATTGACCAATCAGACGGAAAACCGAGCACAATTTAAGCCAATCAAATGATGCGTCAGACTTGGGCAGCCAAGCACAATTTAAGCCAATCAAATGATGCGTCGGACTTGGGCAGCTCGTACGATGCCACGCGAAATCGGGACAGTGACCGCAGCCCGTACCGTGCGTGCTCACGCTCTCGTACTATTTCCTCGCTGGTCGATGGCGACCGGCGACATACATGGCTTGGCTTGGCCAACGAGGTGAGTGGCGCGTCGACGGTACCGGTATACGGACAAGAAAGGTCGCACTTGATACTTTGATAGATGAAAACACACATACTATTCCTCGTCGTTAATCCAAGACGCAGCACTCGTCGTTCATTCCATCTGAACGCGCTGCGTCATCTCCACGTCGCTCAGGCATCTTTCCTCCGAATGTAGCCGCTCGAGCAAAACGACGGCTTGCACACAAAGTGGCGGCCCACCGTGCGGAACGAGCCCTTCTTCAGGAGGAGGTACCCGACGGTCGCAAAGCCAACGATCGCGGCGATCGCGCCGTCACGGACGCGCCGCGCCAAGTCCTCGGCGTTGTGCAGCGAGAGCGAGACGCCCACCACCATGAGCGCGACGACCGCCATTTCCATGAGGAGGTGGAAAAACTGTGCTGCTGCTGCATCGTAAACGGCGAGTCGGCGCGGCGGTCGACCGCGTAGTTGCCCACAAAGAGGTCCATCGCATCCTGCCGAATGCCGTCCGAAAAGTTGTTGAGGTAGTAGCGCGTGACCGAGTTGACGCCGTCCTGGATCGCACCGGCCAGCGTCCGCTTGCCCGTGCGCGTGAAGTCCGTCTTGAGCGCGCCTGTGCCCGCGTACATGACCGAGACCGCGTCCGCGTTGTCGGCCCATGCGTTCTTAAACTGGAGCTCAAAGGCCTCAAAGGGCGAGTCGAGCCAGTTGGTAATATTTGCCGTGTTGACGCCGAGCGCTTGGAGCATCGCGCGGCGGCCAATGAGGCTCATGACCACGTTCGTGCGGTCGAGGTTGTCCATGCAGTTGACGCGGAAAACACCCTTCTGCTTCTTGAGCACACGGCCGTCGCGGTCGGCTTCAAACCAATCGTACTTGGAGAAGCAGTCGTTGACCTGGTCCATGAGCTTCGAGAGGTTGCCCCACTGCATCTTGCGGCACTCGTGGTGAAAGTCAAACCACACGTACGTAATCGGCTCGGCAAACAAACTCGGCTTGGGCGAGAGCGCGGCTGGCGGCGACACCGTCTCGACCGACGGCGTCGACCGGCGGAAGCGCAGCCGCGGCGACGGCGGAATGAGACCACCCGACTCACCGAGAAAGCTGCCCGAGCGATCGCTTCGCTCGAGCGGCTTGTCGTCGTCGAGGGACGAGCTCGCCGTCTGCAACGGCGACGGCGCCGAGCCGTCCGCCGACTGCGCATTGTACTTTTTCGCGTACTTTTGATACGCGGTGCCGAGCTGCGCTTGGTCGCGGACCGTCGCGCTCTTGCCCGCCTTGTCAATGAGGTTCACGACCGTAATGTGCCCGTACTTGGCAATGATCTGGTCAAAGTGCGCGCGAAACGCGAGCTCGTTCCAGTCGACGATCGACTCGGACGAGCTAAAGGCGTAGCGCGTCCGGGGCATGTACTTGAGCGTCACCATTTGGTCCCAGTAGAGCGGGATCGAGCCGCGGATCTGCACGTACGAGCAAATGCCACCGTCCGGCTTGCGCATGAGCACCTCCGTCTCGGCAAAGTTGGCCGTGTGGCCGTCCTTGTCGACGCCGCGGACGTTGAAGCGCGTGCCGATGCGGCGCCAGCTGCGGCGCGTGAAGAAGAAGAAGTCAAACGGTGGCACGTCCGCGCTCACCTTGACGTTGGGCATGACCTTGACGTAGCCGTTGATGACCGGGACGATCCACTTTTCGAGCTTGAGCTTGGAGCGGAAGAAGGGCTCGAGGACCGGCTTGTTCCAGAAGAAGCCTTCGTCGGCGCGCAAATGCATCGGCAGCTTGAGCCCCGAAGTGCCAAACCGGCGCTGCGCCGAGAGCGTCAAGTGGTACTCGAACGAGTAGTAGAAGAGCTGCGACTTGCCCATCGTCGAGAGCATGTTGAGGTACACGGCCTCGTCGTGCTTCTCCTGCTTCGTCGCCGTCGACATGAACTGGCGGTGCAGGGTTTCCGAGACCGGGATGAACTCGAGCTCCGTCATCTGGTACAGCACCTCGCCGCCTGGGCCCTTGCCGACGACGCGGCTCTTCTTCATGAAGGCCATGTGCGGCCCCGAGAGGAGGCTGTAGACACCATAGATAGCGTCCACGGGAATCGGCGGCGAGTCGTTGTCGTCCGGCACGCGCGCGACTTCGTCAAGGTCGACGATGCCTTGGTACGGCGCCGAGGTCGGCGCGGCGCCCTTGGCGGCCGAGAGGGGCGCTTCCGACGACGCGGGGCGCATGACGGGGATGCTGACCTTGAGCCATGACGACTCGCCCTTGCGGCAATCCTCGATGAGGAGCTGGTTCGCCTTGCAGTGGACGCGGAAGAGGCTCATCGTGGCCTCTGCTTGCTCGCGACGCAGCACAAATAAGAATAAGCCCCACCGTTGGGTCGTTACTTTTTCAATTGCCACCCCCTCCCCTTTGAAAAGGTCCTTGAACATGTACCATTTATATACAAATACCACAAGGACCTACCAAAACGATGGGTTTTCAGTACCCAAGAAAAATCCGTGGAAACGTCAGCACGCAGGGACAGGCTAAAGCGCGTTTAAACAGAAAACCAAGCTGGACTGTCCGTGGGAGTCGAGACGGTGGTTGATGCGGAAGCGCGTCCGTATGACAGATATCAATTCGACCCCTCCAGGGCACGCCATGGCCTCGTCGGGGCCTCCTCCACGGCGACTGTACCTGTATTTGCTAGTCAGCCCCAGCGTGGGTGTTAAAACGGACTTCTGGTCGGAGACGTAGAGGTCGATCGGTTGCGCTCGGTGTCGTGGGCTGTAATGGGCAGGTCATGCAGAAGGGTACATAAATTCAATTTATGTACCCTTGGTCATGCATGGTCTGGCTTGACCGTCGCGTGTTATCACCTCCGGTATAATACATCCTAGCCTACATGAATGCAGTTGTTGGAGTCGTCGTTGCGTCAAGCGTTTAACCCGTTGCGTCAGTGGCCGACCGCTGCAATTGAATTCAGCATCGTGCCACTTCGTGTCTGTGCACCGGACCCGGTGTACGTGGCAAACACCAACACGCGTGCAACATTGGTCACGCGTTTAAACGCGTTCAACATGATCATGGGTTTTAGTCACTGACGTAACGTGGTCGGTAACAGGCGGCGACTTCGCGGCCGTGCAAGCCGTCGGCCCGCGCGCCGACCGCCGAGCCTTCCTGCTGGCGACGAGGCCAGGCAGTAGCCGACCACATGGATGCCCTAGGATCGTGACTCGCTACAAGTATCGTCATCACCCGCGACGATATGCGCCTGCCAGCGTCATCCTCGACATGGATGACTGGCATGCAAGCACGTGTAGCCCATCTCATGGCCATGACACGCATGACGCGTGCTTGGCCTCACCGACCGTGCCATCAGCCGCATCGCGCATACGAAGCCATGACGCGTCTGCTTGGGAAGGTCATCATCGGAGAGTAGTATCGTGTTGTGGGTATATACGGTGGACACTAGACGGGCTGGCCGGCGAGGCGGAGGCGCTTCTGGACGAGGAGCACGGCCATGCCCCAGAGGAGGACGGTCCAGACCATCCACAGCAGCGGGAAGAGGAGCGAGTCCATGAGGCCTTTCCGGTCCTGGACGCAGTCGGGGTTCAAGATGATTTTGCCGCCCACTTCAATGCTGCCGCAGTCGGGCGCGAGCGCGTCTTTGAGCGCGCCGAGGAGGATGGGCGACGGCACGTCCCCAAACACGTGGATCAGCAGCGTGTTGACGGCGACGGCGAGCGCCGGCGCGACGGCGAGACACTGAGGAGCACTGCGATCGCCGTGCACGACGTCGTGCCAAAGAGGAAGACGAGCGCGATCCCAAAGAGCACGAGGAACCAGAGCTTGGACGGGAGCGACGCCCACGCGATGAGCGAGAGGCACGTGCCCGCGACCATGAAGAGGAACATTTGCCGCAGCGCCATGTACTGCCGCATGGCCACGTTCGCGCCAAGGTTGCGGCACGTGTAGTCGAGGATGAGGCCGCCCACCGGCGTCCCAATCGTTCCCGCCAGCACTAATCGCATGAAAAAAGATACATCAAAGTGTAGTAGACAGGAAGAAGCACGTACCGACGACGGAGCCAAAGACGACGGACGCGTGCGTCTCCTTCTCAAAGAGTCCGAGCCCGATGAGGAACATGGGGCCAAAGACACTCAGGCCCGCGAGCGAGAAGGTGAACGCAGCCGATCCGAGCACGACGAGCACGAAGACCGCGTTGTTGCTCACGGCGAACGCTTCGTGGAAAAAGTTGGCCGGCGCTTCGAGCGTCAACGTGGAGGAGGGCGCACTATTCGCGTCAGCATCGAGTGAGGTCGACGGCGACGTCTTGGCTTTGATTAACCGGCTGTGGTCTTCGAGGTCGTCGACGTGGGAGGAAGCGTCGTGCGTGATCGTCGCCTCGTCGTCGTCTTCGTCGGACGGCCGGTGTACCTGGTGATTGCCCGGACGGTCGTACTTGGCGGGAATGCAGCAGAGCGCAATGAGCGCGAGTGGCGCCATGAGGAAGGCCTCGACGTAGAACGCCCAGCCCCACCCGAGGTTCGAGTCGGCAAAGAGCGCACCGTACTCGTACCCGACGGCGGTCCCGACCTACGCAATGGCCTCGCATGGGATCCATTCACGAGGGGCAAACAACCGTACCGAAATGCAGGCGAAGAAGACGCCGAGCCAGAGCGTCCGGGTGGCGGGCGGCGCGTAGTCGTCGATGAAGGGCGGCGCAATGCATTGGAAGCTCGACTCGCCAATGCCACTGAGGATACGCCCGGCGAGGAGCACGTAAAAGCTGTTGGTTTGCTTGGCGGCGCCGCAGACGAGGACGGCGACGCACCACACGAGGAGGCCGACGCCGACGAGGCGGAAGGGCTTCATAAAGATCGAGAGATAGCCAAAGAGGAGGATGAAGCCGGCGTAGCTCGCGATGAAGGACGAGGCGAGGAGGCCGAGGTAGAAGCTCTCTTGGCCGACCGTGATGTTCATCGTGGCCTTGATAAAGTACTGGAACTGCGTCGGCGCGCCGGGAATGATCCCGCGGTCCACGTAGTTGAGCAGGTTGATGAGGCAGAAGAGGAAGAAGATCCACGTCGTCGTCACGCTCGACGGCCGCGCGGCCTCGACGACCTTGACCATTGCCATCAACTGGGGTGTTTCTTCGACTGTTGTTTACGGAAAAAAACAACGTGCGTGCGTACCTGCAATGTATAAAACACACAACAAATATGTTTAAAAACGTTTTAATCACGTCCGAACAAGTGCAAGATCGGCGAGATGGGCGGGCAAGGTATGCATCTGTCATTCTGTACACTATTCACCTGTCCATAGTCCATCGATCGATTAGTGCGGTTATGTGAGCGCTAACGTTATGGGCGAATGCAGTGCGACGAGACACCGCCCTTGCGACCCCTGCAGCATGGATGCTGGGTGCGTGCGACCATGGCGGCAGGTGGCACCAACCTCAACCGCGTTCGGGCATTGAGTTCGAATAGCTTCGCTGGCCCGCGACCTCTGGCATGAATGCGATACTAAAAGCTGCATTGACATGTGCACTGTACTCTGTAGTAGATGCGAGAGCACTTAGTCGCACAAGAGCGACCGGGCTTGTTGTGCCAGGCCTTGGAGCTCAGCGCAGGCGGCGCGGCGCGTTTGAGCAATGTCGTCGGCGCGCAAGACGCCATGCAACGTCCGTGCGAGCACGCCTGCGACGGCCATGTCGACGCTGGTGTCCAAGCGCCGATGGGCGCGGAAAAGCGCGTGGCGCAGGCCCGCACTGGCCTTGCGCCGCGTGGGCGCATACGTTGCCAGCACATGGGCGGCGCGAGCTTGTAGCATTTGCGCAGCCGCGGCGCGGGCCTCCAATTTAGCGTCGGCGTGGTGGCGACATAGCCGCAAGCGACTTGTCGATGTCACTTGGCGTAGGCAACAGCGCGCGGCATGCTGCACGGCCACGCGTTGCTGTGCGACGGCGCCGACTCGCGCCAAGGCGCGGGCCGCATCGCGCTGGCGGTGGGCGTAGAGGTGGCGCTTGGCATGGGCGCCCCACGCCGTCCAGAAACGCGTCTTGGCGGCGGTGAATTGGTCTGCGTGCACGAGACGCTGGCGGTCGAGCTGGGCGTTGACGTCGCGCGGCGGGACCTTTTCTTTGACAAGGTCATGGAGCGAGGTCAGCGCGGCGTAGCGCAGCGTCCACGCGGCCGAGACAAGGGCCTCGATCGACGCCGACGTGTCCAGAAACCACTTGCGCAGCGCGTGCAGCGCCAGAAGCACATCGCCACCCTTCAGAAGCGTCCGTGTCGGCAGCGCAAGCACCTTCTCCACCACGAGCTGCGTCGTGTCGGAAGCCGTGAGGAGGCGCTCGGACGCCTCGTAGAGCGCCCAGAGCTCGGCCGTTGCGTCTGGCGACGACGATGACGTGATCCACCGCGCTTTCATGGCTGGCGACGCGTTCTGAAGCAGCAGGGTCAGCGTGCGCATGCTGGCAGAGAGGCCGCCAGGGCACGCGTGGTCGAAGAACGCGTCGTCGGTGGGAAAGGTCCCGTCCATGTCGAGCGGATGGGCGCAGGTATAGCGCGGCGGATACGTGCGTCGAAATTCGTGCAGCGCTGCGAACCGCGCGTCGGCGACCGCAGTTGCGACCGCCTCGTGGGATACTGCGTCGAGTGCATTCGGCATCGAGAGAGAGTATCGGAAGAGCGACACTTTGGACGATGCGCGCTTCATTTTGGCCTCGCGCTGCAGTCGCATCTGGCCTTCCTTGGTCTGCACCAGCGCATGGTGCGTCGTCACGGCAACCTCCTGGCCGCGCAAGATGGCGGCCGACTCGATGCGTCGCCGCCGCACCTCGGCCGCAT